TTGAAGATGTACATAGATCTAAACACAAAATTAAGAACGTTAGCAAAATCAGATTTCGAAAAAGATTTTTATAAATTAATGAATAATTCAGTCTTCGGTAAGACTATGGAGAATATTAAAAAAGGGTTAACATAAAATTAGTTACACACTGGGAGAAGTAGGGTAAAGCTTTAGGTGCTGAAGACCTAATCGCTAAACCACAATTTCATAGTCTTTTATTATTTTCGAAAAACCTAGTTGCGGTTCAGTTGCGAAAAACGAAGTTAATATATAACAAACCAATTTATTTAGGGTTTTTCCCGAAATTTTCAGTGCCGTATTTCAAAAACATTAATGTATGATTTTCATTACAACTATATGGTTAAAAAGTTTAGTAAAATCAAATTATTGTATACAGATACGGATAGTTTAATATATCATATATTTACAGATGATTTTTACACTGACATAAAACCTGACCTTTAATCATACTTTGATACTGTTACGAGCTTAGGGTTCGTGACAATAAAAACTGCCGATTGAGTTACCAAAATTAACACTTTTATTACCGAACAAAAATTAAAACTTAAAAGACACTAATAATTAATCACACTGATTCACTTTATTTCGCTCCGAAGCTTCGCTTGTCTCGCCAAATTCAATACTGCCCCGATCGTGGCATGTAGCGGGTTTAAATACACGTTTGCACCGAAACATCCAGAATATTCCAGTAAATACGGGCGCCAACCGACCAGGCGCCGAAAGTTCGAGTGTGAGGCTTCTAGAAAGCTTAGTTCTTCAATTCGACACTAGATGGCGCTGTTGGATAAAAGATTAGTCATGTCATTTTCTGGAAAGCTTTCCTGGCTCTGTTACCCGACACTAGATGGCGCTTGTACCAGACGTCAACTTAGGCGCGCAACAATACCTCAGATTATGATACAAATAAAATTTTTGTATATCCAAAATTAAATAAAAAGAAATTAGGTTTTTTTAAAGATGAAAATAATGGTAAAATCATGAAAGAATTTATCGGTTTACGATCCAAAATGTACGCTTTTAACTTAGAGAATAAGACTATAGCCAAGGAAAAAGGGGTAAATAAATGTATCACTAAAAAGATGACAATGAATAGTTATAAGTCTTCTCTATTTAATAAAAAAGTGCGATATTATAGTATGCTTAGATTTAAATCAATTAAACACACAATTTTTACACAAAAATTAAATAAGATTGGTTTATCATATAATGACACAAAGAGGCATATTTTAGATAATAATATTGAAACATTAGCTTGGGGTCATTATAAACTGCGCTAAGTGTTGATAGTTTTTACTTTTATGTCTGCGTGTAAATAAAATTTGTATTGATTGTAAAATTATGATACTATAATATGACGTAGAGATTATTAAATATTTAATCATTGTTTTATAGTAAATAATTTAAGTTAATTGTTGTTTATATTTGCGTGTGTGTGTATTTATTTGAGGTTGAGTTGATTGTAAAATTATGATGTACTAATTGTGTTAGAAATAGTATACAGATCATTCTGTTTTATATAATTTTTGCAATATATATTAATTGTTTACACCAACACTTTCATTTTTTATTTCACTCCTTAGAACTTTAGACGTGTGCAATGTTTCACTTTATCCATCCGTTTACTGCTATTGTGGCAGGACCAAGTGGATGTGAGAAGTCAAATTTTGTAACAAATTTCATAAAATCACGTTACAGAAGTATGTAATTGTGATTTTAATCAGATCACATGGTGCTTTGATGAAATGTAACCTTTATATAATTTACCTAATGTTAACTATCATCAAGGAATTCCAAATCTTAATATGTTTGATGGTGAAAACCCACATCTTGTTATTATTGATGATCTAATGAGAGTCCGATGGAAGAATTGTGGATATATTTACAAAAGGTAGTCATTACAGGAATCTTAGTGTATTTTATTTAACATAAAATTTATTTCATCAGGGTAAAGGGCAAAAAGGCATATCCTTAAACTCAAATTATATAATATATTTTAAAAACCCTCGTGATAAAACTCAAATAAGATATTTAGCGCGACAAGTGTCACCAGTTAACCCAAAATTTATTGAAGATCCCTACAGGGATGCAACTCTAGAGGCGCATGGATATTTAATGGTAGATTTAAAACAGAATACCAATGATTTTTGTCGTATCAAGACAAATGTCTTCCCATTTAATGGTTTCTGTACAGTCTACGTCCCCACAAATGAGTTTAAATACACTAAGAATCAAACAATTCAAATCATTGCTAAATGATGCATCGTCGACTCACAACGCATAAACATTTGCTAAACGCTTTGCATACGCTTAAACCAAAATATCAAAGAGCATTACTTAAAACGTGTGATGAAGAAATTAACTGTATTTGTGAGTGTATTCATAACGTTTTACAAGAAAAAGTACCTCCTAAAGATCAAGATAAACAAAATTTGAATAAACACAAAAATATACTCCGTAAACTAGTGCGTAAGTGTAAACATAAACTAAGAAAAAATATTATTATACAAAAAGGAGCGGCTTACTTACCAATAATATTAGGTGCAATATTGAGTGGATTAGTGAGTGGACTAGCCAGTTAACATGGAAAATGCAAAGAAAATGATACTTATCGAACCTGGATTGATTGAAAAATTAAAACAAGAAAATAAGGTTAATAGTAATTTATCTCGATTAGATATTGAAATGCAAAATATTATGAACAGTATAAGACGGAAGACCGAAAGAAATGGATGTTATATTTACAAACACTGCAAAGATACCTTCATTTTACCGAAAAGGATCATCACTCAGATTACCAATTTATTCTGATACATCTAATGAAGATTCAAATGAGTCTAAAATTGGTTTTAAAAATAGAGATAGAGATCTAAAAACTTCAGTTGATGCTGAATCTTTGTTGGAGGAGAATCGATCCATTAAAAGTAAAGAAAATGATGAAAATCAACTTTACACACCAGCTCAAATACTCAGTTTAGTACCAAAAACTTATAATAAAAAAGGACAGTTATTATTAAACTTAGTTGAAATGAGTAAAAGTAAAATGCATTGGGATAATGAAGGTTCAGTCATAATTGATAATGAAAAAATTCCTGTAAGTATTATTGTTGATTTAATAAATGATTCACTAAGACCCTTAAAAAGAAGTGATCCAATAGGGTGGGATAGATTTGCTGAAGCATTAAAAGATATTAAAGTACCACTTATATTGGAAATCCAAAGAGATGTGAGTTTATTAACCAACTTCAAGCAAAAGATCTGAACAAACCCTCTGAGATTGAAGTTCAAGAGTTTTTTACACCGAGCAGTAGAGATATAAAGTCTACAACTAAAATATGTAAACGGCTTGAGTGGGAAAAATGGACCCCGTAATAGAAGAAATTAACAGGATTTATTATGATCCATCTAATCCCGCTGGTTTTAGTAGTATTGATATATTATCAAAAGCCATGAAGGGTAAAATGAATAAAAAGCAAGTAAAGGAATGGTTAAAATCACAAGAAACATACATATTACATAAACCCCTTCGAAAAAAATTCCCGCGTAATAGGTACATTCTATCAAATATTAATGAACTGTGGCAAGCTGATTTAAGTGATATGCGAACTTATTCTCAATATAATGATGGTTTCAAGTATATACTTTGTGTTATTGATGTATTTAGTAAATATGCTTTTGCAAGACCAATGAAAAAGAAAAACTCAGAAACAACTAAAGAATGTTTTGGTAGTAATTTAACACCTACTCATATACAATCTGATTCTATATAGGTACAGAATGCTATAGCACAGCTAGATATATATATATATATATATATATATATATATATATATATATATATATATATATATATATATATATATATATGTGGGATATATTAGCTGTTGCTACAGTTTTTCCATTTCTACTAAATTTACACCCTATACAGAAAATAAAAAAATAAATATTATATATACATATTAAATGTATATATAATATTTTCTCCAACATTTTACATTTATGTAAGAAGTGTTTTAAGAGTGGAAAAGAAGCTACTGATAGGCTTATCAAATCGAAGAATTGTGTGAAATGAAGTGAAGTGATATTTCTGTTGTAGTAGGCAAATGGACACTTATTTTAGAAGTATGTTCAAACAGAATAACTTCTTTCACATTTCATGACTTGTTTGTTGTACATGATAACATTTGTGAAATAATTTTTCTTCCATTCGGGAAACCATAATATCCTGAGCCATACAATCGGCTCTAATCCACTGTTCATCATCTTACTCAGGTTTAATCTTGCTTCCTTCTACAATATTTAGCACTCCATTGCTTCTTAACAGGATTTTTGTGGCGAACTTCCACGTGTCGAAATTAGTGCCATTTCATTTTTGTGAGTTGTGTTCGTCCATTGTGAATATATTATATGTATACGTTGATTTCACAATTTTATCTCTCTAGTTAATCTGTCTAGTCAGTCTGGTAGTGGATATCCTGGGCCTATAACCTGTTGAGATTTGGGAAGCACATAACTTTTATGAGTTTCTTTTATTCCACTGTGCACACATTACTAATTACAACAGCCATTACAATTCCTACTTACATAGAGTACTATTTTTAAGGAATGAGATCAACCACAAACAATATAACACACGGAACAAGACAATTTGTTGGTTTTATAACATTTCTTATCAGAAATTATAAGTAGCAGCCCGGAGACAGAAAGTTGTAGGTGCTTCATTCCCGCAACTTGGGTAGCACATAAAACCGTTGGCCCTGTGCCTGATCTGACTGTAAGGGAATAGATATTGCAATTGTGCTAATGCACATTCTCATGCCTTACTTTATTGCCCAAAAGTCTATTTGGACCGCCTTGAACGAAATTCAGTCTGGAGGACACTCAATGTTGATATGGATGAAGTATTTTTTTTAAACGAAATCTTAAAATTAACATTAAATTGTACTTCTAATAACAATTAAGTAATGTAATATTGATTTCAGCTGCTGATAATACAGTTTGGATTGTCAGCGACATAAGGCGTAAAACTGATATAAAATGGTTTAAAGAAAATTATGGCCCACTTCTAAAAACTATAAGAATCATAGCAGATGAAGAAACAAGAAAAGAAAGGGGTTTTGATTTTCAAGCAGGTGTAGACGATGTAGCATCGGAATGTGATTTGGACGATTACGCAGAATGGGATCTTGTTATAGACAATGGAAGAAATAGACAAAAATTGGAAGATCAGATAGATTCAATTTTAGCACTCTTAACTTATGGCGTATAAGTTATATTCACATATTTCAAAGATGTTTTAAATTTAGGGAAATGGGAAATTAGGGAATGGACAACATTAAGCAAACTAATGTTATTAAAGGATAATGTCAAAAAGTATTATTATAAGAAAATTAAATTAAAATATAATTTATTATACTATTGTTGAGTTTTTCATAAACTTAGCAAAAACTCCTTTATAGTAACAGTCTAAATTCCTGCACAAACCATGAAACTTTATATTTTATTATAGATTACAAATAAATAGATGTATATTTATTGTATAGTGTAGCTCATGTAGGTATATGTCAAGGCCTATGTACACGTACATATAAGTTGGTTGGCTATTATGGCTGCAGTAGGATGATCACTGCTCGGACCAGGGAGGTATTTGTAATGATTTCTTATGTTTACACGAATACTTCATTGAATAGAAGTAAGTAATGGTAAGTGGATGCTGTGACTCATAGACACCTACATCTATCCTCGATTAAGAATCAAAATGTAGATTCGTTGTCATAATGCCTCGTTATCATTAAAAAGGGTCTCAATTTCAGTTCAAGTAACATAACCTATTCTGTGAGAGCTTGGTCCTTCCCGGTCGAGCCGATTCGTTACTCTTAACACCCACGGTGCGTACGATACACGCTTAGGCCATATTAATATCCTCGTACTAGTGATGATACTTCTCATCTACATTTAGAATGGATTAATCACCATTTCATCCGTCGTACTGGATAGTGGCGGTGTAAGAATATCCACTACTCCATATCGACTTGTAGGTAAGAGCCGATAGAGAATCAGGAGATAAACAGCAGCGTCTCCCTGATAATAACTAGAAAATAAAAAACTGCGGTTACTAACATTGCCTGCTAAGCGTGGCAACTACTATGTTTTGTATATAGAATAAGAGGGACGAACGAGATCACAGTCCACCTGATGGTAAGTGGATATTGTGGTCCATAGACATCTACATCAATCCTATTGCTATTTTACGCTGGTATTCTGTGATAGCGTGGTCCTTTCCCGATCGAGCCGACCATTTGTGCTACAACTATTATATAGCTGCAGTATGACTCTACAAACAGAAATCTAAATAATAAGGCAATAGAAGTCGTAAAAGCGCGAGACCTTGTCGCCGCACATGTGACTCGTAGGCAATGTTGCCAACCCGAATTTTAGAAATTAGTAGATTATGTGCCAGATGTTGGTAGAAGTTGATAGAATGTAAAATGCAAAATTGGTAGATCTACCACCTCAATTTAGAAGATTTTTTAAGATTAAAAATGCATGAACTGCTCTTAAAATTATTGTTTTTGAAAACCGTACATATTTTTATTGAAAAATTTTAAATGTTCTGCGCTAGGCTGCACTTTTAGAACGCTACAATCCCTCTAGAGTCTCCGTGCAAATTCTATTTCTCTGGAAGGTTTACATATTATTAATCAATCTCTCAACGTTGCCGCTACTAAGTGGTAGTGCGAGTAATTTTCTCACGAATTCGCATAGCAGGTGAAACATTAGAGACTGGTCTCCTTTTTTAATGGATGAAACATGCTTCCAGATTTCTTCAGGTGTAGGATCCACATTTTTTTCTGTGAAATGAAATGTCGTGTTTCTTAATAATCTCTACTCTCGGTCCAATTCGTTCATGTTTTCTGAACATAGCCCTAAAAATAAAAATGTAATGTAAATAAAAAAATATTCTAGAGTGGACAACATTAATAATTAATTATGTTTAACTTGCCTGGAAACTGAACTCCTAAATGAGCAATAATTGTGAGTGCATGTTTTTCAATGATATGTTTAGGATTCATAAATTTAAAGAATTTTAATCTTTGCTTTTCATCAAAACAAAAACGCTGCTTTATTTGTTTTATACTCTCCATATAAAAGAGAATGCATTTTTATTTAAACTGTACTATTTCCGTATCATTCATTCTAGCCACAAAGTATTGTTTCAATAACAGGGAAATAACATTGCCACTAAGGTATATTTCTTCAATTGGTACATGGTTTTGTTTATTTTCATATTCTAAATTCAAAATTTTGTTCTCCAAATCCAAGTTAAGATCCTTGCTACTGTTTTTTTTCATCTTCAGTCAGCTGCAATAATTCTGGTTTAATAAAACATTTCCAGATAGTTTTGTATGTCGTAAAAATCCGTTCATAATAACAAATAAAGTTTAGGACTTTCTGAATGCATTTCTTTATTAATGTCATAGAAATAGAGCAACATATAATTCAACAAATTTAAGTATAGCTCTGTTGAAGGATCCATGGACTTCACATGGATGGTCTGAGATGCAAGTAGCCTGTCATTCAAAACAGCATTTTGGAAGTATAACTTTAAAGCTGGAAGCTGTTCTAAAAGCCGTTTGATCACAGGAAGTAGAGACAGCCATCTTGTTTGAGCTGTGTGTAGAAGTTAGTAGTTAGGTTGTACCAGTTCTGGCGCACTGAGTCAGAAGTGGTACAAGTACGACGTTCGTCGACTCACGATCCTAAAAAAAAAAAAAAGGTTTTGGCATGCTCTGATCACGAATCTGCGGTCCATTTTTGCGTAGGATGCACGGTTCCGGAGATGTGCAGATCAATTAACTCTTATCTAATTGATATCCGCTGCGAGCCTCAACCGTCATTAGCGCTCCATTGTCCTTATCTACTTATCTATTGTTGATTGACTACCGTCATTATCTATTATTCGTCAGCGTGTGGGTCGGCTTATGCTATTGTATTATACTCCTTTGTTCCTATCTACAACGCTAATCTGAATCATCAATAAAACACATTACCTAATTTTGTTAAAATTTTTATTTATAAAATACAAAATCTTATAACTTATTATCTATAAAATAGGAGCGAAACATCTCATCCACTAACATATCGTTGTACAATGTGTTCTCTGTAAATATACTCGTAAAACTATGCATTGAACATCCCTGAAACTTATATAGCAAATACATTAAGCAATATTCGCCACAAACTGAAGTCCTATCAACATTCCAGTTCCATCTTTTACAATTTCGTACAGGTGCCCGTCCATATGAATCAAAATATTCACCGACGTCATTCGTTTCGATATATAAAGCTACCCAATGTGACCCTGGTTTATCATCTGTACCCAAATTGCATATTACCTAGTCAGGTCATAAATTCTATCACATGTTTAATGTAAAATAATTGAAACAAGTTTATTCATTATGTAACCATTTATATACCAAAATGAACTTAACAAAACATAGATTCTTATGACACTATAGTTTATTCAAAATGACCTCCGTAATTTTGAATACAGGCCTTCAATCTGCGCGGCCAGTCGTCTATCTCACCACGAACGAGGTCCATGTCATATCGGCGGCTGCCTTAATTAAAGATGTCTTGAGTGACTCGAAATTGGGATGAGGCTTTGAGCACGCCTTTTCCTCCAAGTGTTACCATATCTTGTAATCTAATGGATTCAAATCTGGACTGGTCTTTGTGTCGGATGAAGTCGATTTCACGCGGCGCCAGCCAGTCTTTTTTTTTTGTTTTTAAAGAACGTTACCTCCACACTAGGTTTTTCTCCTGTATCGTGGGGGCAGTTTACAAACACAAATTTCACAAGGACAAACATCCAAACTCGGAACAATTACTTGTAGGTCGTACAAATACTTGTTCCGTGCGGGATTCGAACCCGCGACCCCCAAGCGCAGCCACTCATTGCTAAGCCACTACGCCACGGAGCTGTCAAAAGTCTTGTGTGCTCTTCGCTCTATGAGCTGACGCCGAATCTTGTTGGAATACCCAGTGCCTGTTATTGAACATGGTATGAGAAACAGGTTACACAAGGTTCGTCAGGACTGTATTTTGATACACAACTGCATTCGTTTTTAACCTTTCTCACAAAAATGTACCTCTGTTAAGCCCCAATAAGAAACTCCCAACCATACCATGAGCGAGGATGGAAAATGACCTCGTTGGACACGCGGAATACGGTTGCTCGCTTCTTCACTACTGTGTGCGTACACCTTATCATTTTGTTTGTTGTAGCTCTCTTCTACGGTAAAATTTTTTTTCCGAAAAAAGAATTTCCCGATATTTTTTTCCCGCGTACCGCTTCACCAAAGCGCGGCATCTCTTCAGTCTCAGATCCATTAGACGAGCATTCAAACGATGTCCTGTTTTTCTTCGATATGCCCGAAGCCCTAAGTCTTCATTTAACGCCGTGGTTCTGCTTAACCCCATCTGAAGGGCCAACAGTTTCTGCTTACGTTTGGGATTTCTTTGAATTCGCACCTTTACAGCTTTTATCACTGCTGGAGTCCTAACAAATCGAGGGCGACCACTTCTTGACCTGTCATCTACACTAGAGTCTTCATTGTATCGTTTGATGGTACGATAAACGAATCTTTTGGTTATATTCAAATTTTTCAGTATATCAAAAAATTTAATTGGCGCGTAATCGCAACTGCAACACGGTCTTTTTTAAGCGTCCACTCCATATGTAAAAATGAGTAAAATTCTAAAAAGTATACAGTTTTATTTTCATGAACAATTCGAATTCAATAAACTTTTTTGTGGCCAGCATTCTAAAAGAAAAGTTTTTACTGTGTGACAATACTTATGACCTGACTAGGTATATACGTTGGTACGTGGGTGTACATGGGCAGTCTGTTAGCAGCATAAACATTATTTTCTAGACTGGGGTGAATCTTTTTCAGATGTTGTTGTACATCTAGTGTATCCATGATATTACTGCTATTAGTAGATTACTACAGTACAATCTACTCAATGACTAACATAGGAATGATCAATTATGTGATTTCTAAATATTAAATTGCATTTTTTCTGTTATACAAAACGTATTTGAGTCATCAATACACTGAATAAGACGCAACACGAAGAATGTGAGATAAGGTTGTTGACGCATAAAGTTATTATCAATTCTACTGTAGAAATTCTTTAGATTAGAATTATTACTTACTGGTACTATATAAGACCAAGCAACTGCAGTCATGGAGTTAGTGTATG